CCCCCCCCCCCCCCCCACGTCGCCAAAAAAATTTCGGTCAGTGTACCATTTTAGTGGTCAAAAATTTTTTTCCGGACATACAAAAATTTTCCGGAACCTAACAAAAATTTTGGTAACATCACAAAATTTACCACAAAATTTACAGAATTTGTCGCATTTCTTTTTTTAATACACCAAAATTGCCCGACTGTTCAGCGAGTACTATTTTTCTGGAGGGGCCAGTGGGCTGTCAGCCAATATGCGCCCCTATAATGTTACACTTGATAAACGAGGGCCGAGTGCCGTAGGTGCGAGGTTTGTCTAGGGGGGTCCGGGGGCATGTTCCCCAGGAAAATTTTTGAATTTAGAGTCTCTGAAATGCCATTTCCTGGACTTTGGGGGAAGATTTGACAGAAATCTGATGGTCAGGAAACGGCATTCTAACGTGTCGAAATTTGCAATTTGGTTAGAATTTAGTAGTAGTACTTAAATTATGCAATGCTAACCTATAAACACGTCTTTTCTTGGCGGAAGTAACCATATTTTTTCGAGAATGCGTTTTTTCCCCCCCCCTTTCAAAATTCGGCGCCCCTTTTTCATTTTTGCGCCCCCCAAGAATTGCCAGCGGGGGGGGGGGGGCGTGGCCCCCCGCCCCCCCTGCCAGCACGCCACTGGCTTGATTTAGCATTAATTTTACTGCAACTGGTTAAAAGTTAAGCAAAGATTGCTTAAAGATGCTATACAGTACAGTCCAATCTGCGTATGCATGTGCACAAAGGTTGAGCCCTCTTTTTATTATACAAACAGTTTATTTATGTTTTTATTTCATTTTATGTTCCTGCAAAGCTTTATTGTTGTGTCTTGATAATTTATCATACTCTAGAATCATGAAAATATAAATAGTTTTCGAATAATATTCTATATTTTGGATACCGAAAAGGTTAAATGTAAACAAAGCCTTTGTTCACCCCTTGTCTACGGCGCCCCTTCAGTAGCCTGTTGGGCAATCTGCTCGCCAATGAGGGAGAAACTCAAGAAACTAAACGAAGCCATTTTTCACCCACAAAGAGTTATGTGTATATTACTTGGAGTCGTGGAGTTCTCTTCCCATGAATTCTGCTCAGAGCCACGTGATATCGTGCTGTCGCGTGGTTTAGAATAACGTTGAAATGTAAACGTATTTTATTATCTTACCAGTGGTGTGCATGATCCCTCGAACAGGGGAAGCTGTAGGGGATAGTTAAACTCCCAGAGAGCACAATTAATTATGCATATTGTAGCCAAATGTGGTGGTCCAGTGTAGGTAGTATTCTACAATAAGCTGCCGTGGTTTGTGTCTGAACTACCTGAAAAAGATATCTCAAACGTGGTGGTCCAGTGTAGGTAGTATTCTACAATAAGCTATCGTAGTTTGTGTCTGAACTACCTGAAAAAGATATCTCAAACGTGGTGGTCCAGTGTAGGTAGTATTCTACAATAAACTGTCGTGGTTTGTGTCTGAACAACATGAAAAAGATATCTCAAACGTGGTGGTCCAGTGTAGGTAGTATTCTACAATAAACTGTCGTGGTTTGTGTCTGAACAACATGAAAGAGATATCTCAAACGTGGTGGTCCAGTGTAGGTAGTATTCTACAATAAACTGTCGATGGTTTGTGTCTGAACAACATGAAAGAGATATCTCAAACGTGGTGGTCCAGTGTAGGTAGTATTCTACAATAAACTGTCGTGGTTTGTGTCTGAACAACATGAAAGAGATATCTCAAACATGGTTGGTTGGCACTGACTGGTTTACTGAGTCGAACAGGGATTTCTTTTAATATTTAATGAGATAATATATTCTATACAAAATGAAAGTTACCTAGTATAAGTATAAAGGCTAAAACACATGCATTCCGATCATATTTTCGCGACATAACATGGTAAAATTGACTAATAACACAATACTACAAATATAACATATAAAACAATTAAACATCTGTACCTGAAGGGTAGATCCCTGCAGGACTTGACTCTGACTACATCTTTACGTTAATCTCTCTAACTATCCGTCCTTTAAACCGTCTCTTTACTCTCGCGTGTCTCTCTTACAAAATACTGATACAACTAACGCCTATAATGTCACTCAAAAATGTCATCACTTAAATGTCTATATAAACCATAACAGAACTTAATATTAACTATATCAAATGTCAAATGTCAAATGTTGCTCGCTATTTACACCAACCCTCCGGGGCCACAGTTCATGAATGTTCGTTTAACTAGCTTCTATTAAAACACATAACTTTTGCACAGACCTTTTGTATTGACCATGCTGAGTTTTCACTAACACATTTCTTACCACACCATCTTTCCCAGGGTAAACTTCTTCAACTCGACCTAACTTCCATTTTCCTCTTGGTGTCTCGTAATCCACCATCAGGACCAAATCTCCAACTTTCATCTGTCGTTCTTTCAATCGCCATTTTCCTCGTTTCTGCAACGTCGGTAGATATTCTCGTATAAATCTTTGCCAGAACTGCTGTACAAGGCTCTGGATAAATTCGAATCTTCGACTCAAAATCTCAGATCTCTCAAACGATCCGTGAGGAACACTGTTCGATGCTCTACCGATAAAGAAATGGTTAGGGGTAAGGGGTTGTAAGTCGTTGGGATCGTTCGAAGGGTATCCTAAAGGTCTTCCATTTATCAGAGACTTAACTTCAGCGAAAACCGTGCTCATTTCATTCCAAGTTAGATTCTGATTTCCAACTACGATTCGAATGGCACTCTTAACTTGCTTTATCAGGCTCTCGTATATTCCACCTTGATGAGGGCTCCTTGGTGTCGTGAATATCCAACGAAGTTGGTAGAGTGTTGCGAAATCTTCAAGTTTCTTTCTCTCGTTTACAACCAATTCTCTCAACAATCTCTCAGCACCAACAAATGACGTCCCGTTATCGGAGATTATCGTGCTTGGCCAGCCATGATGTGAAGCAAAACGTCGCAGTGCATGAAGAAAGGCTTCAGCTGACGTACTCTCTACGATTTCTAGGCGAATGGCTCGAACTGTCGCACAGGTAAATATAGCACCCCAGGCTTTGACACTCTTATTTCGTGAAACTTTAAGATTAAACGGACCGAACAAGTCCACTCCAGTTACAGTAAATGGTGGAGAAAACGGTTTCACTCTCTCTTGCGGAAGATCAGCCATCAAAGTGGTGTGAGGTCGTTGACGAAACTTACGACACACTAAGCAATTCTTGATTGTCTTCTTAACTATACGCCGTCCACTCATGATCCAATATTCACGTCGACTCTCAGAGAGGGTTCTTTCGCAGCCAGCATGGCACACTTTCTCGTGAAATTCTTCCATTATCAATTTCGATATGTGGTGGTTTCCGAGTAGCAATATGGGATGTGCTTGATCGTAGGGAAGGGACGCTCTCTTTAGTCTACCACCAACTCGGATGATATCATTTTCGACAAAGGGCGCAAGATCCTTGTAACGATCTTTCCAATCAATCAACGTGGTCTGTACTTTACGAATCCAAAATTCTTTGACATAATTTATTTCGCTAGGTTGGAGAGGACCCGACTTTAACTCCGACTTGTCTCGTGCGCTTAGTCGAGCATTATGACCAAAACGCTTGCAGTAAGCTGTAATTCTGACCAATCGTTGCCAATTTGAAAAGTTTTTTGGATCTATGCACGGGATATCAGGATTGAAACTCCCCAGGATCTTGGGTTTCTTTCTTTCTGGATCATTCTGAATGGTCTCCACACTTTCGCTTGGCCACTCGCTGTTTGGCAATTTCAGGAACGCCGGTCCTTGGAACCATCGAACATACATATTTTTCACATCAATTCCTCGACTTAAATCGTCGGCAGGATTCAGAGCAGAAGGAACATAACGCCAATGACTTGATTCCCATGTTGACTGAATTTCAGCTACTCGAACTCCAACGAATGCCTTCAACAATGCAGAATCTGCTCGTAACCAATGCAAAACGATCTTCGAATCGGACCACAGTTTAACTACAGCTGGCTTCGTTTTAAACTCGTTGTAAATGGTACTTGCCAATCTTGAAGCAACCAGTGCTGCCATAAGCTCTAACCGTGGAATGGTTGCCTGACGTAAAGGAGCAACTCTTACTCTCGAGGCGATGAGATTAACTTTAGGACCTTCTGTGGTGGGCTAGAGAAGATATGCAACCGCTCCATACGCTGTGGCAATGGCATCAGCGAATACATGCAGCTCGGATGGACCACAAATTTCATCAGGACGTAAACAACGCGGAATTGTAATCGTGTTTAAACTCTCTAATTCTCGGAAAAGTTTGTACCATAAAGTGCGCATTTCTTCAGGCAGTGGGTCGTCCCAGTCATACTTCTTTGCTTTCCAGATTTCTTGGAGAGCAACTCTTGCTTTGATAGTTACTACAGAAGCCAATCCAAGTGGATCAAACAAACGTGAAATCCTCGACAGAACTGTTCTCTTCGTTAACGTTTCTATCTTTATTTCCTTTACTGAGAAACTGAATTTGTCAGTCTGTGGATTCCAATTGACTCCTAAAGTTTTGATTCCTTCTTCGCCGTCTAGGTTGACATTCTTTGTCGTTGTACATTCACTATTTACACCTATCACGTTATCTTTGAAATCATGATTTTCTTCTTCCGGACTAGAAACGTTCTCAGCTTGCATTTCTTGAACGGACGATGAAACAAACCATTCCTTTATCTTAAAACTCCCCGTAGCTAACACGTCGTCGACTTCGCCTTTGGACTATTCTGCTTCTTCCTGCGTGCTTGTCGAATGAATAAGATCATCCATGTAGCGATCACGTTTGAGAATCACGGCAGCTCGTGGACATTGGGACTCATTTTCATTCGCGATCTTGATCATAACGTAACTTGCCATGTCCGGCGATGGTTTATCTCCGAATGTGACTCTTTGGAGTGCGTAAACTGTTGGGTCTCGACTTTCATCTAAATCTCTCCATAAGTATCGGTGGACAAGCGTGTCTTCTTCGGGCAGGCAAATCTGCAAATACATCTTCGATATATCGCCAACGAGGCCAACAAGATCTTCTCTAAAGCGCAATAACACTCCAAATAGATTTCCAATAAGACAAGGACCTTTGTAGAGAAACGAATTCAATGATACTCCTTGATATTGGCAGGCAGGGTCGAATACTACTCT